TTCTTAAAAATAATGTAATATAAATAGAAACTTAGAAAAATATTTAAAAGGCCTAGCTCATATACTTAATCACACAATTAAAGGCCTCTTTGATTTGTTGGAAGAGATCATTTAAAATAATAGCACCACACCGTTAACATTCAATACAGTATGACTTAACCAGAATTTTTCCTTATCATTTATCTCCGACAATCTCTAAGTCCCAGAAAAATTTTATTTGGTTGATACTGTAGTTGTATAATCTTTTTCTTTTACTATCAAATATCCTGCTGGTTTCTGAACATTCTTTTGAATAGTTCAAATTCCAAAGACTGAAAATATCATTTGAACTGTCCCTAAGAATAACCAAGAAATAATTTTCAACACAGGGGAAAGCTAATTCAAAACTGAGGAGTTCAAATGATTAATGGCAGCAAACCACCCTATTCTCTTCTCCTTGACTTTAAGGTCCACTTGTAATTCAGAGAACATTGCAAAATAAAAAGTTATCATTATCTGTCATTAAATGTTCATAGACTGTTATTGAACCGGGAACATAAGGAGGCTATGTGAGAAATAGAAGACGTTACCACTTATTTTATTTTTTTAAGTTTTTATTTAAATTCCGGTTAGTTAACATACACTATAATATTAGTTTCAGGTGTACAATATAGTGATTCAACACTTCATCACCCCTCCTTTTAAAGAGTTTACAATTGACTGGAGAGAGACAAATGCAAAATTAAGGAATAAGTAAACTCTGTCTCATGAGGCAGTTATCACAAGTACATTAGATATTCAAAGACTGAAGATAAAAAGAATACATAACAATTGGCTTTGCCAGAATAAACCTTCTCCAGGAAGACAGGACCTCACACTGGTCTTGAAGAAAGAGAGGAATCTGGAAAGCAGGTGACAGTTTCAGGCTGATTAATCTGGAAATCTCTTGGCTGTTTGACATCACTGTAGCCTCAAAGGCCAGGAATACATAGACTGGGGATTTCAACAGCTTAAAATAGGTTTGTTTCTTCAGTTTGTTTTGCAATACAAGTGGTTAAGCAGATATTGAGAGCCATGGGGTATTTGCTAATGACTGTGAAGAATATTGTTTGTAATCTGAAAAACATTAAAATTTTTTTGTGAAAAGAAAAAATAAACAAATGGGATTATGTTAAACTAAAAAGTTTCTGCACAGCAAAGGAAGTCATCATCAACCTACTGGATGGGAGACGATTTTTGAAATCATATATCTGATAAAGGATTAATATCCAATATATATAAAGAACTCATACAATTCAAAAGCAAGCAAAAAACAACCTAATGAAAAAATGGGAAGGGGTTTTGGACAAAGAAGACATACAAATAGCCAATAGACACATGAAAAGATGCTCAACATCACTCATCATCAGAGAAATGCAAATCAAAACTATAATTAGATATCATCTCACACCTGTTAGAATAGCTATTATCAAAAAGACAAGGAATAACTAGCATTGGAGAGGATGTGGTGAAAAAGGCACACTCGTGCATTGTTGGTAGGAATGTAAAATGGTGCAGCCATTATGAAAAACAATATGGCAATTCCTTAAAAAATTAAGAATAGAACTACCATATGACCTGGCTATTCCATTTCTTGGTATTTATCTGAAGAATACAAAAATGCTGATTCAAAGGGATATATGCACCCCTAGGTTCATTATTTACAATAGGCAAGAAATGGAAACAGTCTAAACTTCCATCAATGAGTGAATGGATAAAGAAGATGTGGTGTGTGCACATATATATCGAATAATGATGGAATATTAGCTCTAAAAAAGAATGAAGTCTTGCTGTTTGTAACAGCATAGATGAAACTTGGACCTTAAAAGTATTATGCTAAGTTAATTAGGTCAGCCAGACAACGACAAATACCATATGATTTCACTTATATGTAGAATCTAAAAAAAAAAAACAAAACTAAACAAATGAACAAACAAAATGGAACAAAAACAAACTCATAGATACAGACAACAGACTGGTGGTTACCAGAGGGGAAGGGAGGAGGGGGTGAGCAAAATGGGTAAAGGGTGTCAATTATATGGTGATGGATGGTAATCTAGACTTCTAGTGGTGATCACTTTGTAGTGTATAGATACCGAATTATAATGAATCAAATGCTGTACACCCAGAACTTACATAATATTATGGACCAATTTTACCCAATTAAAAAAATCCTTGTGCCAGATTCTCTAGCGCTTCACTTCTAGTCATTGCTTTTCTACTTAACTGGCCTTACTTTTATGATTTTTAAAAATTTTATTATTATTATTATTATTATTATTATTATTATTATTTGCTTAGCCCAGACCAAATGGATGGTTCTATTTCTGAGAAGCCCAGGGCTTTTGGAAACATTTAAGACTTTAATTCTCAACTTCTTATTTCCTGTGTATCATCCCCTGTCAACAGGAGAAGCCGCTCCTAAAATGAAGATAGGAGAATTTTTCTTATCTGCTTCAAAGAATCGATATGAGGCTCAAAAGATAATGAGCATGGAAGTGTTTTGGAAGCCACAAACCATTAAGAATGTTTTAAGTCCTATTACATTAGTTTGTGGTATTATGACTAAAATTCTATTGCTTCTGACAAACAAGTCAGTCTTTCAGGCTATCAGGATGTCAGTGTCATTTTGTGGATTGTTTGATTATATTTAAGGACAAAAATAACACAGAGCCTTTCTCCACTACCTAGACAGAGTGCAGGTAAGGCAAATAGCCTCCCTTTAAAAGAAACAACTACTTTTAAAGAACCCTGTCTCCTACGGTACTTGGTGCTGTCATTCTCAACATCAGGGAGTCTTTGGACCATCCACATTCTTTGCAGAAGGCCCACACCAGTGATTCCTGGACAGGAGCTAGGCATGGGCAGTGGGCCAGAATGATTTCGACGAGAACCCAGGTTAAGGTACACACTGTTTCCTGGTTAGGTTGGGCAACCCAACAGCCTACATCTCCTGGGAACTTTCTATTACCTGCCCGCCAGCTGAAGAAAAATTTTTTGCCTTATATTCTGTAAATAATCCATGGCAAGTTGATTCAGAATGCAAACCAGGTGAAACATGAACATCTACAAGAATGTCAGGAGGAACCGGAAATCACGTCTCATGACCCTTCTCTGATTTTACCATTTAGCGCCAAAATAACCCATAAGTTCATTTATACCTAAATAGGATATTTGGAACTAATCTAAACACACACACGCCTACACACCCCTAAATAACCTATGTCATGAAGCTTTTTTTCAAAGTCTTATTATATTGTGGTTTATTTGCTGCTGTTAAGCTGAATTTAATTGCCCAAGATTTTTAGTCACATTCTTGAAGTTTTGTTTTATTCACATCCGTGAGATTTACTTTTTGTCTTTAGATGCGTTCTAATCTCTAAAAAGTCAACATAATAAATCTGTAGGCAGGCTGTTTTCCCAGATTACCACTCCCTAGAAGGATGAAGGATTATATTAGCTGAGTCAGGTGTGATGCTGATGGTATCAGGAAGCTGTGCAGAATAGAGAACTTTCCATTTAGCTTCCCCCGAGGTGAGGCCAAACCTCCCAGCCTTCATCAATTTCTCAGGTTTCCTTTCAGACCAAAAGTTCTAAAGGTTTATAAGATCTCCTCCTTGTTCACCAATGAAGGTGATGTTCTGCCAAGGAAGCTATGTGGAGGAGTCAATAAAATTCCCCAGGGTCTTGGGGGACAAGGAAAGTAATTTCTTTCCATGACTGGCTTCCAGTTGCTGTCATGTCTACCCAATGCCTTTGCTGGCCTACTGTGAGGACAAGGGTATTGAGAACAATCCAGAAGAGGATTTAGTTAGAGTTCCATGAAAGAAAGTCCATGTGTCATTCCAATATCATACTCATGCCTTCCACAGAGTTAGACATGTGAAAGACCTGCCGTTAAAACTTCAGCGTTCTATTTCCACAGTTAAGAGAGAGAGAAGAGAGAGGATGAGGAAGCTGGAAGCTACCTCACCCCTTTTCCAGCTACCTCATCCCTCAACTTCAGGGGGCAGCTCTGAGCTCACCTGGATTCAAACAGGCCTGTGGATTAAAGCAGCCACTGATCATGATGCTAAATCACTCCAGAAGCTTGTGGGCCAGACTCTGCTTTAGTCTGCCCTCACCGCTCCCCATCACATCCCCTCCCCCCCAAAAAAGACCCACCTCTTTCAGTTCACCAGTGTACTGAACTGCCAAAAGCAAGGCATCATCTTCCAGGGCAATTTGCTTAGTGATTTTTGAAGATTTTCGAAGACCACCGGGCACGCCGATGCTTGCGGAGCTACAAGGACAGCATTTCCAGTTAGCAGAATTGATTTGGGAGTCCCTTCCTGCCACTGGATTCAAGCGGGAGTAGAGATATTTTCATCAAAGCATCTTGGCCTCTAAAGCTAGCCGAAATCAAAAGAATCAGAATTAATTCGAGCCAGAAACCTAGAATGACCTGCCTGCAAGCCGAAGAGGAAGGTTTTTCTGTTTAGTGCAGTTTTAATCACAGCTTACATTCCCTGAATGGTGATGATGATAATGATGATAAATTAGAAAGATCGTTCAGAAATTTTTCTAAACTCAAACCTGGCAGTTTGGCTCCAGTTTTCCTCCTTAGATGGGAACGAGGGGATTCTCCCAAAGGCTCCGTCCCCAGGAGAAGCCGGCCTTCGCTAGCCCTGGCTGGCCTAGGGGACGAAATCCCTGCAGCAACCAGCTGAGGAAGAGGCAGCTCCTCCCAGCCACCCTCCTCCTCAACTCCCTCTGCTCAGCCCCCCTCCACCCATTGCCCCCCTTCCCGCCCCCGCCCACCCCCCTCATCTAGGGAATTTCCCGAGCATCCCAACGCTTGGGTTTCCTGCCTGGGGGGAAGGGGCCCGTGCAGATAAAAGGGATGCAAAGGACTTGGGGGAAGCCACAGTGCGCAGGAGCTTCAGATCCCGGCTCCTCTCCTGCCTCTAGAACCCGCAGCCCTCACCGCCCTGGTTGCCGCAATGAGCCTCCTGCCCAGCCGCGCCGCCCGCCTCCCCGGTCCCTCCGGCTCCCTGTGCGCGCTCTTCTTGCTGCTGTTGCTGACGCCGCCGGGGCCCCTCGCCAGCGGTGAGAGCGCACAGCAAGCGGCAGGCACCCGGGCCGAGCGGCGCGTCCAGCCTCCGCGGGGGTCGCGGCGCGGGGAGGTGGCCTGGGCGGGCTTGCGGGGGAAGAGCTCTCCGCCAACCTGCCCTAGAACGGTGTCTCTCTTTGTGCCCCAGCCGGTCCCGTCTCGACCATAGTGAGGGAGCTGCGTTGCATGTGTTTAACCACCACACAGGGGATTCATCCCAGAATGATCACTAAGATGCAGGTGATCGCCGCCGGCCCACAGTGCTCCAAGGTGGAAGTCGTGTAAGTCCTCGTGCGCTGCGGTGTCCACTGTTTCCTTAACAAGAGAGAAGTCTCTTAGCCTGAGTCTTGAGCCCCTGGGGCTCAAGGGCTCATCCTCTTTTTGTTTCTGCAGAGCCACCCTGAAGAACAGGAAGGAAGTCTGTCTGGACCCAGAAACCCCAGTGATGAAGAAAGTCATCCAGAAAATTCTGGACAGGTACCCTGCCGCTTTGATCTTTGTGCTTTTTATTCTCTTTTGAGAGTGCAGACTTCTCAAGGTCCTTATTCTCTGCCTGGGATTTTCCTATCACATTCCAGACCACGCTTAGAATAAAAGATGGTTCAAGAGAAAGGGGAAAAGTTGTTCTGGAATGTCCCGGGAAGACTCATCACCAATTTCACATGTAATTGCCTAAGTGGTTCCATAGAGCTCATTACCGAGATGTATTTTTTTGTAGTTGTTAGTATAGTCCTTGCGTCCACCTTTTGCTTTTTTTCATTGCTCTTAAGCTCTGTGTTTTGAAAACAGGTCTGAGTAGACAGGAGTGTAGGAACTTGGTTAAACTAATATGATTCTTTTCTCAACAGTGGAAGAAAAACTGATTAAGAGAAAGGACCATGCACTGGAAAAATTGCCCAGTTCCTTCGCAGAGCGGTTTCCTGAGTGTCTCAGGAGCCAGTGAAGACAAGAAGCAAGGACAAATTTTCTCCAATGAGTTAGGCCTCCTCATAAACTTCCCACTTTGAGAAAAGGATGGTGGGGAGGCACCTACGTTTGTCCTTCGAGCTTAATGCTCAGCTTATAAAGTATTTAACACAGTATTTCCCACTATTTATTTGCTGTTATTTTATCTGCTGTGCTATTTGAAATCTTTGGCAATTGATTAAATTGTGAGTCAAGAATCAGTGGTTGTTAAGCTTTCAAAATGACTTGTATTTTTAGAATATATTCCTTACAGTGTTACTGAGAAGGCTGTGGGTTTAATATGTGAATGTTATTTCATTAGAATGCTGTAGGTGGAGATAAATTGTTATCTTCACACCTCATGAAATAGGAGATATTTTGGTATCGTTTCTTGGGGAATATGTTAGGTTTCCTTGCTCTTGACTCTGGGATGCTGAGTTATATTGCCTTAAAAAGCTGGTGTAACATGCAGTTATCTGTATAAAATATACTTCCTTATTTAGAATTTTTAAATGTTTAAGTTCTATAAGAACTAATATGTTTTTTTCCTATAATTTTAGACATTTGATGTCTTCTTAGTATGGCATAATGTCATGACTTACTAAACCTTGATTTTATGGTGTGTATTAACCATTTTACTAGGAGTACTATAATTCTAGTCACTAAATATATGTTTTGGACAGATGAAGAAGCTAGGAAATAGGCAAATTCCCTATTTCTAGTTTTTTTATAGAAATGCATTGTTTGCATTTTTTAGGAATAAAAGCAAACTTCACAATGATTTGTACTTGTAAAGTTTTGAAAAGATGTTTGAGCTATTTAAATATAGATTCACATTTAGTTTTCAAAAAATATATACAGGTTAAGGTTTTGATCATTTTGTGATAAAGAATTACCTATGCATCACACTTACCATGTGAAAGTTACTCTTTATTATGTGTCTCATTGGTTTGTAGCACTTCTTTTGTTCTTTGGGAAAAAAAATAAAAGATTTATAAAATTTATTTATGTTGTTTCTTCCTTCCTATACTGTTACAAAATTTCCATTTATTTTTAATTCCACATGATCTTAAAAATAACTATGCTACTCTCTGGCTAGCAGAGAGGACCCTCATTTCCCAGGGCCATTACATTCGTCCCACCTTTCTCCAAGCTCAGTCCCCTTCGAGCTACTCCTCCAGAGCACCAACAGCCTTCAGGTTGTTTGGAAAACAAACCCTAACTGGCTCCCTATTTCCTAGATGTGACATCAAAGTTGCAAGGCAGGGCAAGTTAGGTTCTGTCTCATCTGACCTCTGATTGCTGCTTCAACGTCCCTTTCCCCTCGCATAAGTGTGGTCAGGAGCTTAGTTCCCTGACTGGGCATGTTCTTTCCGGGGTCCACGCCTTTGCATTTGATAGAGCCTCTACCTGGAAGGGCCTTACCACTTTCTGCCTATAGGAGGAAGCTTATTTATCCTTTAGAAGTCAGCTCAAACAGTACTTCCTTCAGGAAATTTTCCTTGGCACTCCCGGAGTAACTCGTTGGTCTCCATTTTGATGTTCTGCTAGCATCTTCTAGATATCTGAATTTCTTTGATTAGCAAATATTGTATTGTGGGGCTTTTTTGTTTGTAGATTCTTTATTCTACTGAGTTCTCCCAGATCATCAATCGTATGTCATTCATCTCTGCATCCGCAATACCCGACACAGATTGGCTTAAGAATTAATAAAGTATCCTGAACCTCAGGTAATCAGATCGTGTCCTAACATCAGTAACCTGCTCAGTGTGGTGTTGAAGAAATCATAATTCCTTCACTCTCTTTCTTTCTTCTTATCTACAAGTAATCCAACAAGAGCTTTGGCCTATGCAGTCCCCTCAACCCATAACATCTACACCTCACTTTTACCTGGCTAACTCCATCCTTCCTTCGAGGTCAGTTTACCTGTCACTTAGGGCCTCCACTGGTCCTTGCCCTTACTAGATGAAGGCCTCTTTCATATCCTCTCATAGAACTTTGTTCTTTTCCTTCCTAACATTTTGTCACCAACATGATTACAGAATCTACAGGGGCGGTATACATGTGATCATTTATTTAGTGTCTATCCAACTTCACTGTAAGCTCCATGAGGTCAAGGATATGTTTATCACATTCATCTCTGTTTCTAGGACACTCTGAGCACATAGTAGGTGCTTAAGCAGAAGAGTGGTCCAGGCTAAACGAGTCCCACTGTCTTTAAGTATCAAAACAGCAAGTTCATCTAAAGAGCTCATTCTTGGGGGGCCCGGCTGGCTCAGTCCTTAAGCATATGCCTTCAGCTAGGGTCATGATCCCAGGTTCCTGGGATGGAGCCCTGCATCAGGCTCCCTGCTCCTCAGGAAGCCTGCTTCTCCCTCTCCCACTCCCCCTGCTTGTGTTCCCTCTCGCTGTCTCTCTCTCTGTCAAATAAATAAAAATCTTAAAAAAAAAAAATAGCTCATTCTTAGGAAAAGCAAGAAAATGGAAGGAAGGAGACTAATCCAATTGATATGCATATATACTCATACCCCGACTGGATTAATATATATGCTTATATTAACACATGTATTTCTTGGTACAGACTAATATATTATTAGTACATCTATATCTAACTTAATTTATTCTACATCTTTTCATCTCTTTCCTTATATGTAAAATACCAATTAGATTCATATATGTATTAACATATATTATTAATTAATATAGTATATTAATTATAGTAATACATTATGATTATATATTAATATATCTATAGGACAGAGAAAAGGAAAAAAGACAGGAAGATACAAAAATATGGAAAAATTCAGAGATGATTTGCTGACAAATTTTTTTAGCAATAGATAAAAGCACAAAATACCCCAAAATCTTTAGAAAAAATCATTAAACTTCTGGGGTGCCTGGGTAGCTCAGTCAGTTAAGTGTCTGCCTTCAGCTCGGGTCATGATCTCAGGGTTCTGGGATCGAGCCCTGGGTTGTTGGAGCCCGCTTCTCCTTCTGCCTCTGCCTCTGCTCCTCCCCCCCCACTTGTGCTTTCTCTCTCTCTCTCTTTCTCTCAAATAAATAAATAAAATCTTAAAAAAAATCATTAAGCTTCTGTGATATCTTTTTCCTCTCTCAAACAGTATTTTTTTATCCCTTTGAGCCTATAAATCATACACTAATATTAGGGAAACATTAAGAAAGCAAGCCAAATTACCATAGATGTGAGAACTATAAATTTCAGTATTTTAAACAATCTCTGATTTGTCATATCGGCCCCCAAATACTCATTGAGTAAGTGCCTGACAATAATAAATGAAAGCATATTACATGTCCTTTGAATAGGTGAAATGTATGTTCTGCGAAGAAATAAACGTTACTGATTACTTTTTTCTTTGTCATCATTCTAGATCTTTGGTTTTTTTCCGAAGCAAGATTTGTAAGTTTAGCTTGTTTATAGACCATAGAATAAGACCTCATTTGTAATATTCTTGCAATTCTGTCATGCTCACGCTATAATTGGCTGTTCTATAACGAAAATAGATTATATCGCTGATGTAGATAACCTATACCAGAGCCTCAGTGACAGCTACGTCTCACTAATCCTACTATTACTATTGATCCTGCCACTAGCAAATTCCAGGACTAACATATCTGGGGAAAATTAACCCACTGAAGTTCTTCTAGGGATATAGCTTATGTTTTCCTCATACAAACTCCTAAATACTACACCCCTGCTGTTATCCATCTGAAACTCACTGTCGGTTATAAAATCACTGGGACTTGAAAAAGAGGTCAGCTAAAATATCTATGTTACTCCCCCAAACCAGACAATTTTCCATGTTTAATTAATGCAGTTCATTTTACCATATTCTCCTGCTTGCCTCTGGGTGTGACACCTTCACATAATCCTTCAATTCCTGAAGTTATGACAGGATCTATGATAAAATCTGACTAGTGGCTTTGTTTTTCTATCATACTTTTAATTCCTTCATAAGGAAAAGAATTGCTGTGGGTAACTCTCATATTGTACACCATAATTTCAAAGTCCTTCCTGGATGTTACAAATTGAGAAATTTACCACACAGAATGAGCACCTGGGGATTTTGATTTTCCTGCCTGACTGAATCACAGAAGACAAGGAGAGTGCACATGATTCTGACTTTGGCTGACGGTCCTGGTTTGCTTTTAGTCAGCAAAATTAATATTACATTCCCAAAAAGGATTGTTCATACTTCAAATATGTGCAGTGAAATAATGACATAGAAAGACCTAGAGTTTATGTGTAAAATTTTGTTTTTACAAAGTCTAGAGTCCCATTTTTTTAAATATTGAGAAATGACAAGAACCCCTTCCTCCTCTGAAAAATCCACATTCATAATAGAGGTGATTCTGCTGCCCCCAAAATGTGGGGTGATTGCTTCTGACCCACCTCCAGATTGAACAAAGAGAAAAATGGCTAACTCATTTCTAGCATGAGAGGCATGAGATAGTTCTTTACCCTTCGTGGTACAGTACAAAGTCAGTGTAATTGTGTTTCAGATCTAGTTGAGCCCTTCTGGCTATTTGACCTTGGCAATTTATTTAACAACTCCA